AAGATTCGTTCAACGCTGCTTTTTCCTTTCATTTCATTGGCTGTCTTCTTCCGTGAAGGGTATCACTCCACAGGTCACCTACGCACACCTGGGGCGGTGTTCACGCGTAGGTGAGCTTGCCACCTCAGCCCTACGCGTAGCTTTCCCGCCTCGATACCGTTTAGCCTAACAATACATTACGCGGTTTACATTTTCTGCGCACTCGGTTTTGTAATTTTGTCAAACCAATTATGCTAGGCAGTTTGCATTTTTAACTCTAACCTGCACCACATCATAGCCTAGCATTTACTAGAATAGCGTCAAAATAAATTCATAATTAATGACTTTTTCAATCTTAAGCATTAGTAGTATGAATAATTATAGATTAAATAGTAAATTACAGAAATGTTCCCTGTAATTGTTGCACTGGTGGATCAACTTTTTTTTTTTCTTTTTCTAATCATATATATGGTCCTTATATGTCATTTGTTACGGAAAAGATCCATGTGGGTATTGCCTTTCAAGTTCGTATATTGTATTTTTATTTCCAATGGAATTAACAAAAGACACTATACTATGCATCCAAATAACAAAAAAAAAAAGGAAAAAAGAATTAAAAATATGAGACCTAACTATGTTTGAAACTAATACTACACATTTCATTTGGTACTTACTCCACCGCTAGTCGTTGATCGGAAAGTTGAGTTCCATTATCTGGACGATAGACGACACAAAGTTAATCAGAATAAAAACAATATAAATAAAAATTATTGTACTTTGTTTGCAGGCTTCACATGTTCTCTTGAAAGGTTTTTATCACAAAAAGGAACAATACAAACAAAAACTTTTTTTTGCCCAAAGTTTTCATGATAAATAAATGGTATTGATTTGGACCCTGGAATTTCTTTGTATTTGCATAAGGGTATTTTCGATATTTCAAACAACAATTTTCTTAAAACTAAAACGTTCTTGAATACCATATGAAAATTGTTGAAATTGAAATTTGGACTAACCTGATCGCACACAGGGCAAGTATTACTTCTTTCCATCCATTCAAGAATGCACGACAAGTGAAAATGATGCTCGCATTTCGTCACTATTTTTGGATTTTCTTCATCATATTCTGCGTAGTAGAAAAAGAAATTAAAACGCTTCCATAATCTCGAACCAATAGATTTGATTAATATAAGCATTTACCTTCAAGACATGTAGGACACTCCTCAGGGGCTACAAAAGGTGCATTTGACTTCTTGACTTCGCCATCGTCTTCTTCGGTAGCAACAAGTTTGATATCAATTTGGTCTTTGCAATCAGATTCCATGGTTTCCTTAGCCAGATTTTCACCATTATTACTGATTTTTATATCTTCAATAGGGTCAGAACTATTTGTTTGCACAAGAGGGGTTTGAGTTTGAGGATCCCCAACAATTGCTTCATATGGTAAAGGTGCTGGTGGGTGTATGTAAGTGTCTGGTATGGAAGTATCAAGATTTGTATCAACTAAAAGCCCTGTAGGAACAACAGAAGCTGCGCCACTGTGTGCTGATAATGGCTGCCGATCCTCTGATACTACTGGATACTGTACAAGAAATGGAAAAATTGGGAATAGAAAACAGAGGGATCAAGGTACTACAAGAGAAAAGACTTCACTAACATGATATAATCGGGGTGAATTGTCCCATTCTACACGGTTTGAAGAACAACAACAGCAGCCTCCCATATTTATTCAGTTGTGTGTATGATCCAAGTACTTCTCATGGCTTTCTGTTCTGTAGCAAAGGAAACTGTGTATCAGTAGAATTTCATGAAGGGTTGCATAACAATGATCAAATAAACAGATCCTTATATCCATGGAAATAAGTATTTATTATATGCCGATTATGTAACAGAGTTGCGAAGTAACAAGTAAGAGCGTTTGAAGTTCAAAAAGAAATCACTAGTTATCCCTTAGCAAACGAAGGAAAGTAAAAACCATGAAGGTAAACACACAGAGAGATCATACAGATCATGATTAATCTAACAGCTTTCGTAAATCCAATTTCTGATCATCCTACAGCACTGATCACTCTAACAGTAGGAAAATTTTCAAACAATGAATCATTCACGCTTAATTCGATAAACACCTGCTACTTTTACGCATCTTCGTAGATCACGATCAATATATAATCGATACAGGTGAACTAAAATACACACCGACTCAATGCAAAATCGTAAACACATAAAAACCCTTCTGAATTGTTGTCAATATGGACATAACCAATAACTAAAACCAGACCCTAAAATAACTTCACCCCTGCAATCAAACAAAGCAACCAGTAGCTCAAAATCAAACCCGATTCTGACAAAATTACACTATGAAAACATTAGGTAATTAAGTTTTCCCAGATTGATGAACACCAAAAACATACACAGACACAGTAAGACACTTTTATTACAGTGCGTACCTAAACTTGAGGGATTGAATCGGGTGGAGTCGTGTGGTTTCGGCTCAGCGGGAGAGACGAAATGGAAATGGTGTGGGATTCCGTGTAATGAAGGAATTTGAAAAACAATAGAAAATAAGTGGGAAAATGAATATTTTAATAGGATAGTTTAAAAGAGAATAGATACCTGGATACTCGTCAAATGTGGTTGTGACGCGTGTGAAATTCTTTTCATAAAGAAAAATCAAAAGCCAGGTTGGGTTACTGACTTTTAACAACCTCGCCTCAATATCCACGCGCTTCTCTAGGACCACTTCTAACTTGGGTTAATTGATTGGTGTGTGTAGGGCTAATCATATAACCAAAAATGTAAAGGAATATTAATATTAATTAAAAAAATAACTATATATATAAATACATTGAGCATTTATATTGTGAATATAGTCTTGTATGATGCTATTATAGATCGATCTTTTATTTTCTGAACGTCACATGTATATGCATCATGTGATTTTGCAAAAAGTCGTTAGAATTCTGTGTATTTATTCTACTTTGGTGAAATAGTAATTATGTTAAAATTTCAACTACAACCAATTTTGTAGTTTAGAATAAAAGACTATCACATTGACCCAAAATATTACAAATCAAAGAGTAGCTACAAAACACGTGATAATATGAGAATTACGTTATTTCACGATTTTTTTATATGTTTTGTAAATCATTAGGGAAACATATCTACAACATATTACAACAGAAATTAGCTAGATTATTGGGTATTAATTCATATGGTGTCATTTAGTTGCATAATTCGATTATAGTAGTTTCACAAGAGTATGTATACAAGAATATATATTACGATGTTTTGAACAACAAATCGCTAATTGGTGTCTGACTATCAAGTAGGCATGCACAAACCGGTTCATTTTTCAAACCGAACCGGTTCTTTAAACCGGTTCGGTTCACTCCCTAG